AGAGAAATTTCAAGGCATTAATATTCAAAAACACTTGCAATTCGACTGACTGACTGAGTTTGGTTTTACGCCGCTTTTAGCAATATTCCAGCAACATCACGGCGGGGGACACCAGAAACGGGCTTCACACATTGTACCCATGTGGGGATTCGAACCCGGGTCTTCGGCGTGACGAGCCAACGTTTTAACCATTAGGCTACCCCACCGCCCCAGTCGCAATTCGAATACTGTATAGTAAGTAATATGATATCCTATAGTCCTTCAAGACTACACATCCATTAGGAACAAAGAATACATGAAAAAAAACGCCAATTCAATACAACAGAATTTGGATTAAGATTGTTAATGAATTGATATTAGCCCATGATATGATGATGGTTTTGAAGAAAATATCGAAATTATGCCAAAGAACAACGAGCATCTAATGATATGTAGCAATCGGAACGTACTCAAACCGGAATATACCGACATCTTTCGAAGGTGTTTCAGCCGGACGAAGGACAGCGAAATCTACAGCGACTAGTCATTGCTATGACGTCATTCGGTGATACTGTGACATTGTCAGGCCATTGTCTGACATTGTCTCAGCCAGCTACAGCAGTTCTGCAGTACGCTCTTCATTTATCGAGATTATCTCAAGATTATGCCAGTCACCAGACGTCTGACCATGTCCGAGTGTGAGGGGTTTGATCCCGAGGTGGCGGAGTGTTTTGCACGTACAGAACCGACAGGTGAGCGTCGTTATGAGTCAACTCTGAATATTCACTTTTGCCATCCGGAAGACGTTTCAATGTCCCTTGTCATAGGTCAAACAGAACAAGGACATATTAATCCCTTGTAGCATTACAATTCTAAACAAAACCTTTGAAATATAATATTTGAATTTTTATAAATATATACTTTCATGGATGCTGATATGTCTGTAAATTTGTTGAGTTAGTGTATGTGGTTTATAGGAATACAGAAAAGTGTACATATATGACTTGTTTAAGGAAATATACTGACGTACAAAATAAAGTACACATTTGGATTTGGAGGGATTATTTTTAAAAACAAACAAAGAAATAATTTTGACAAATCTTTGATTGCGCCTTACAACTCCGGAATTGGGTATGCTGTCTGTGGTGTTTAGCCAACACGAGCACAATGTTTGTGACACGTATGTCACAAAAACGTTGGGTTTTTACATATATGGTAAACATCGGGTGGGTATTTTCTTTTGTGCTTCAGTTTATGTGTTGGTGTGTATTATGCGTGTGAATGGGTGTATTAATTTTATGTTTGTTCACATTTAATCATCTGTTATCGAAATTGGCATACATATTTTATTGTATCATGCCGTGCTCTGTTTGATGTAAACATAACTTTTTTATATCCCATCAAGAATGGCATAACTCATCAAGTTCTAAAACCTATTCATGTTCTCTTTTCAAGTATAATCTTTCTGTGGAACCATAGCTTAGTGTTATTAACGTTAGTAAATTTCGCATTGTTCTTACACAGTTTCGTTGTGGTTCCCATCACTTTAATATTGAGACGGGTAGATACACAAATAAGCCTAGATATCACTGGTTATGTGTGATAATGGATATATTCAAAACGGTTACCATTTCTTTTAAGTGTGTACTGCATACAGTTCTTTGGGCACTTAATTTATTCCTGCCACGTTTTAAACATACCCTTCTTTGTCAAATTTCAGCAACCAATGCTTGCCACAAAAGGCGACTATGCTTGTCGTAAGAGGCGACAAACGGGATCGGGTGGGCAGGCTCGCTGACTTGGTTGACACATGTCATCGGTTCCCAACTGCGCAGATCGATGCTCATGCTCTTGATCACTGGATTGTCTGGTCCAGACTCGATTATTTACAGACCTCGGCCATATAGCTGGAATATTGCTGAGTGCGGCGTAAAGCTAAACTCACTCACTCACTCTTTGTCAAATTTCAATATATTGATGACCTCAAACAATACGTTTGTCATCAGAAATGTAGCAGTGTTTATTTATTATGCTGCAAAGCAATGCCAATCAAATATGGCTGCAAATATGTAATATTTGTATTATAGGCCGATGGCTTACATACACTCTTTGAATAAAGAAATTTCTTGGTTCCTTTTTGGGTAATAAAGTGTTATCTTGTCCTATAAATGATAATAGAGTTCAATCCTCCAATTTCAATTAGAAGACAATTCAGAATCAACCACTTTTATCCTACCATTTCTTTAATTATACAGTGTAGAAGTATATGCCGTATTTTGGTTTCACTTTCCAACTGGATTGATTTTGTACTAAATCCAGATATTGTTATTTCAGGGTTTCATGATGCGGTTCCCAAACACGTCACAATAAAACCAAAACCAGTCGCCAGACGTCTGACCATGTCCGAGTGTGAGGGGTTTGATTCCGAGGTGGCACAGTGGTTTGCACACAGAGAACTGAAAGGTGTGTGTGTCATAAATACATTCAACTTTCGTATTTCGTGTGTGTTTGTTTTGAATCCGTTCAATTCTCATATTCTTGCAAGTTCATTCGAGAAAATAATAGTTTCTGCATCAACCGTTACTCATTGAATGCATATAGGCTCATAGGCGGATCCAGAGAGAGAGAGGGGGGGGGGGGGGTTGTTGTTGTTGCAGGGGTGCGCATCCCCCCTTTTGTCCTGAAAGTTTATTAAATGACCATTGAAACTCGGGTGAAAATGAAGTGTGCACCCCTCCTTTTCTCAATAGTGTGCACCCCCTTTTCTCAAAAAGCTGTATCCGCCCCTGAGGCTGATGTCTCAGACTTGCCATAGAATCCATCATATGTTTTGGACATCATACGTTTTTTGGACGCCGGTGTTGCTCGTGATATAATGAAGAATGTTGCATCGCAAGACATGACAAATACTTGAATGAAGGCTTGTTGGTGTGTTTTTTGAAGATCAAGGAATCTTTTAGTCAGTGAGATATTTTACAGTTGTTCACTTGACAGGAGAAACTATTTGTGGTTGTCTTCATCTCGCTCACTATCTTTTACATACGTAAATCCTACAATATCAGGATATACACTCAGTTCGATCATTATTCAGAGTTCCACGATACGGTTCCCAAACACGTCACGATAAAACCAAGACCTATTCGTCCCCAGCCTCCATTCCAATGGGACTGTTGTCAAGAGGACCAACAACAAGTCAAGGAGCACGAGCTCCGTGTGCAGCTGACGGCTGTCCTGGCCGAGGTGGACACTCTCCGGGCTGACCTACGAGATGCTCGACTCCGTTCAAGATGTCTGAAAATGGAGAACCAACATTTCAAGACACAAATCAGACAACTGTTCGATGAGAAAGTGTCCCTCAGGGAGCAGGTGGACCGCTTGTTGAAGGAGGTGGACATGTTGAGAGCTGAACGACTGTGTGCACTTTCTGGAGCTGGAGAGGGTGTTGGACTTGTTCAGAGGTCAGGGGTTTCACAGACCTCGTGCTTTGACCACATTGTGTCTCCTAAACAAGACAATACGTCAACAAGACATCGTGAACTCCTTCAAAGCGATCTCTCATTCTGTACAGCCAGTGTGATCGAAAATTTTAATCAGAAACAAAATGTACAAAAGTCAAAATCATTCTTTCGTCGTTTTACCAAATTGTTTAGAAGAAACAAATCCTAATGTAAATTCAATCCTGTTTTAATCAAAATAACAAATGTTTAAACTGAAATAATGTCTTCGTTATATTTTACACATGAATTGTAACGATAAATATGTAGATATATCTACCGTATGAGTGAGCAAGTGAGTTTTGTTTTACGCCGTAATACTCCAGCAATATCACGGCGGGGGACACCAGAAATGGACTTCACAATGTACCCATGTAAGTGAGTGCGTGAGTTTAGTTTTTCACCGCGCTCAGCAATATTCCAGCTATATGGCGGCGGTCTGTAAATAACCGAGCTTGGACCAGATAATCCAGTGATCAACAGCATGAGGATGTGTCGTGAACCGAGTCAGTGAGCCTGACCACCGGATCCGCCTCTTACGACAAGTATCTTTTACTGAAGATCATTTCTAGCCCGGATCTTCACGGGTTTGTATCCATGTGGGGAATCGAACCCGGGTTTTCAGCGTGACGAGCTAGGCACCCCACCGCCCCATCTACCATATGAATCTACAGTCAGTGGATCACTGTAGAGTCTTGGGGGGGGGGCGGCGGTGGTGTAGCCTAGTGGTTAAAGCGTTGGCTTGTCACGCCGAAGACCCGGGTTCGATTCCCCACATGAGTACATTGTGTGTCTTGTATATTGCTGGACCATTGCTAAAAACGGTGAAAAACATACTTACTCACTTACTCACTCTTGGGTAAGAAAGTGATTTGAACCTCTTTTTTCAGTACATGCATTATGTTTAGGGAGATATCGGGTATGACCCGGAAGGTCTCGGGTTCGATCCCCGGCCGCGTCTTACCAAAAGACGTTAAAATATGGTACTTGTTGGTCCCTGTCTAGCGCTCGGCATTAATGGGTACATTAAGGACTGGTCGGCTCGGAGTCAGTATAATGTGTCTGAGTCGGGTATTCATGCTTCACTGCGGCATGGTATCACAGTGGGCTAGCACTATAAAACCAGCTTCAGTCTGGGCTAGTACAAACAGCCGCACATACACATACACACAGGCATGCACGTCGTCATATGAGCGAAATATTCTCAAGCACGACGATAAACCCAATTTCACCACCACCACCAGATATCAGGTATTATTAACACATCCAGTCAAACCTGCGTGGAAGTGTTCTGAACAGTCTCTTTATCCGTGAATTCAGCGGCACACTAGTTAGTGACAGCACATGGCAACTACATTATTACATCCATTATGATGACGATGAAAAGAACAGAAATTCGAACTATTTTGATTACAGACTTACACACTTCAGAAATAATTACACAAATCACAAAAAGACACAGGTGCATCGTAATGACGTAAACGTGGGTTTTAATCATTATGATATTCCCATAGCTCTGTCGGTCTCTGTCCGTCTCAGTGTCTATACTGACTTGGATACCCGCTCCTGGAGGACGCGCAACCGCTGAGTGCATGGTACCATCCAAAAGAAACTGTTGACGTAACTCTTCGTGAAGGTGGGTGGATGGCTTGATTGAGATAGAGAATAGTTTTAACCCCATCAGTAATATTTCAGCCTTTACATGGGGGAGTGTGGATTGGGTTGGCGGGGGATATATGGGTAACGTGAATGGGTTTCACACATTGGTGGTGCAACTGGAAAACGGTTCAAACGACGTCAAACCCGGTTCACTCACTCACTCTTACAACTGGATTAGTTTACGAAGCGTTAGCTGACTTGTTTTTGTTTTTCGTTTGTTTGTTGTTATACGCCGCTCTCAGCAATATTACAGCTGTATGGCGGTATGTAAATAATCTAGTCTGGACCAAACAATCCAGTGATCAACAGCATGAGCATCGATCTACGCAATTACCATAGAATAACACATGTCAACCAAGTCAGCGAGCCTGACCAGCCAGTCCCGTTATTCGCCTCTTACCACAAGCATGGTTACTGCAGACCAATCCTAACCTGTGAGCCGACTTTTCATTAAGTGAGGTGAGTTGATATTGGGTTTAACGTCGTGCTTGAGAATATTTCGCTCATATGACGACGTGCATGCGTGTGTATGTGTAAGTGCGCCTGCTTGTACTAACCCAGACTGAAGCTGGTTTTATAGAACCATGCCGCAGTGAAGCATGAATACCCCACTCAGACACATTATACTGACTCCGAGCCGACAAGTCCTTGTTGTATCCATTGATGCAGAGCGCCAGGCAGGGACCAACAAGTACCATATTTTAACGTCTTTTGGTATGACGCGGCCGGGTATCGAACCCGCGACCTTCCGCTCTCGGGGCGGACGCTCTAACCACTACACCCCGGAGGCGGTCTTTCATTCAATACAGACTGGCTCTTCCACTTCAGTCGACTGCATGGGAATTAGTTGACTCATCACACCGAGAGTTGACACTCACTGAAGAGTCACGCACCCTGACTCTATTATTCTGGAATCTGACTTTCAGCGAACTCCAAGTTTAAAGAGTAAAGTTTAACACGCGCACGAGACCTGTGATAAAATGAAGTTCAACCGGAGATAATAATTTGTGTTTATTTGCCAGACACTATTTTTTATTCCACGTATTGCAATGTTATGGCCAAAGAGCAGTGAAACTAACATTCTACATGGGAATAGATCATGTAGATGGACTTGCATATATTACATCAGCTAAGCGATTTCAAGTTTTAGTCCGAATGACATGTAGAGTTTGTTACCTGAAGTGTTCACCATCAAGCATATTCTGCTTCACTGTGCGGACTTTGCAACTGCAAGGGATTCACATTATGATGCGAGAAATCTGAAAGATCTATTTTCCCGTGAGCAGGCATCTCATTTAGGGGTGGGCGATAATACCGGTTAACCGGTATATTGCAATTCGAACATCACAATACGATATATACATGTATTGCGGTACACTTTTCGCGAACCGTTTCTCCCGTTACGATCGGTAATTTTCGTCATGTAGTCAAAACTACTAATACCATTTATATTTCCTTGACATTATTATACATTAATAGTTTTGATGATGTTTAATTGGTCATATAATTGCATTTGCGTGACTTTTAAACCATTTAAATAAAAAAGTAGATTGGTGCCGGCATCGTTGTCAGGATAAACAAACCAAAATGGCGGATGCCGCTGCAGAGTGACTGACGCTTTTACTCGAGTTCCAAACTTTAGAGCGAAGTCTTTAATTTGGAAACATTTTCAATTGATCTCTTGTACAATCACATCTGAGTCCTGCCAGTGGTCAGTGGCCAGTGGCATCGTTTCAAAAGAAAGGAAACAGTAATTTCATTACCTTAACCCATGTGTTACACTTTCACAATATATTGCAATACTTATCGCAATACGCCAACTGTTTCACAATATATTGCAATACTTATCGCAATACGCCAACTGTTGGCAATGCCTATTGTTAACGAACTGAGGGAAGTTGAACTGTTTCATAAATTGTAACTATGTCATGTGAATGGCGAATTGCCTGCTTTTGAATTTGGTGCTACGACATTTTCTGTTTTTAAATAATAATGTAATGAATATATATGTTTTCAAAATAAAACTCATTTGGACTTTGTACTTAAACTTTTTCTGAATGCAGACTTGATCTCGTCACTATAGGGCTGGAATAATGCCGATGTGACGTGCAGCCCCACACAACAACTCATCCTATCGGTACGAGAAGGATCACATGTATGTGTAATGGTGGCATGTGGCCTTGTGCATAGAGCCAGGCACAAATCAACAAAAGTTGGATGTCACCCAGTGTCATAACCGGATCATAACCAAAATGGGGAAAAAGTAATGGAAACCCTTTTATATACAATTGATATTAAATACACTTATGATGTCTGCCATTCGGTATCTCTCCCTCTTCAAAAAAACGAGATGTTCATGTAATCGGTCATTTTCACATATTGGCTAAGTGTGCAATGATTAATACCTCCCCCTCCCATTCTCTCTCTGTATCTCTCCCTCTCTGTACACACACACGCGCGCGCGCGCACACACACACACACACACACACGCACATACACGCGCGCGCACACACACACACACACATATAAACGCACAAAATGTCTAAAATAGTACAGGTGTACTGTCATAAAAAGATAGATAAATATAAACAGAATATTTATCGCATATTTAACATAGTTGCTTAAATTAGAACATCTCTCGTCACCCATGCTTGAGAAACTTGGATGTGAAAAATCAAAATATCCACTTGGGAGGGGATTAAAAAAATACAATTTTCATGTAACCGGTCATTTTAACATAATGCCTTCATATGCGATGATTAATGTCGGTGCAAAAGCAGTGGAAATACTTTAATGGTAGCAAACGTACTTGGACTTTATTGATTTGAGCACACAAAAAGAAAAAGTGGAAGAGCATTTGTTCGCCATTTTAGCGAAGGAATGCCCAAAAGAGAACTATTAATTAATACAACGAAACAAAGTATGTTATTAACAGGTCTCCAGTGAAATTTGCAGGTGCCCCGCCCACCTTTCCACATGGCCGGAAGTTTTTCATTTCACGCGCATGCGCAAACAACGAGGCTGGTCGACATAACAGGAAACAGTGAGTTGCATTGCCACTGTCAGCAGTGATGTGAATATTTCCGACTTCATAGTAAGTTGCACTGTTGATTTTTATGCATTGGGTAGTATATCTGTCTTTGTGTAGATAATATCAGCACCGTGTGTCGTTTCTTGTTACTTTTTTGAGTCGATTAAAAACCAGAGTTATCGCTATTAGCTGAACATTTCAGAGTTCAGATTTGACAGAGTTTAACAATATGAGAGTGAGTCCGAGTGACAGCATCGGAATGGACTATTTCTATGAGCCGGATCCAGATGTTAGCTGTAGCGTATACATCGATTAGCAGGACAATGAATAAACAAGTTTGAATTAAAACCGATATTCAATCTTCACTTATTTGACGTTATACTGGCAGTGAAATTCGATTCGAAATGAAACTGGGTTTATGATTAAACTGTGTGATTACCACTGAACTTTCGTCGTGTTAAATAAATAAGATATGTTTCTCTAATTTCTGTACAGGACTTACGTTAGAGTATAATTATGAAATTCCTCATGTTTATATTGATAACATAAATAGTATACATTTCCTAAAAGATTAAGGGATTTTGATATATCTTACGTTTTTTGATAAATCATCAAGGCTACTGTTATCAAATTCCTCTTCTCACAAAAATCTCTATCTCTCCACTGAAGATCGGAAAGTTATGGAAAAGATGATACCATAAAAATTTTGCATGATTCACTCATTTTGAGCTGTCAAGACACAAATGTCTTTTCTACATGCCCAATGCCATATGTTTGTCTGTGATGTCAGTGGGGTTTTTTTTTGGATGAAAACCAATAAAAAACCCAACAGCAATCACACGTCTGTAAATGGTAACGTTATCAGAGAATTTGGAGAAACTTACTTGTCAGATACCTTACTTGTTGGATGTCCTTAAATGCTTATAGAATTTAAGTTGTGTTATCTGCATGCTTATGACTGAAGTCATTTTGAAATCTCATAAACCCAGCTCAATACCTTGCTTCGATGAAATGGAGCATAATATGCTATTGTAAACTCTTCAGATTTACACTTGCCTCCTTGGGGTTAAAAGCAATTTTTAACATGATAAAAAAACAAACATGAACCAGTCTTAAATTGTGTAAAGCCTTTGTTTAAGTGCTGTCAAACTGCAATGAAGTATGGATCACCTTGACAACCATGGCATTTTATGATGATGAATTGCTATATATTTTTATCCTGTTGATTGTCAGAATATTTCAATCCCTCTACATTACTCAACCTGTCGGCTGGTTATTACAAAGTGTGCTTTTGATTCATATTAGTGTGATATTTTAGGATCGGGTGGTCAGGGTTGTTGATTTGGTTGACACATGTCATGGTATCCCAATTGCGTAGATTGATGCTCATGCTGTTGATCACTGGGTTGTCCAGTCCAGACTTGATTATTTACAGAACGTCCCCATAAAGCTGGAATATTGCTGAATGTGGCATAAAACTAAACTCAATCACTCACTCCCTGGATAAATAACAATTAAAAACACTGCATATTAAGATATTAATGAATATTCAATTCCAGTGGTCACGAATATCAAATTGAATTCATGATGGGATACAATATGAGTCACCTTATATGTGAATGGATTGTAACAGTCCTAATGCTAGGTGAAGTAGTTAAGCAAGCTAAAAAGCATGTCTGTTCTGTAGTATCAGGGGTGGTGGGGTAGCCCAGTGGTTAAAGTGTTCACTCGTCATGCCGAAGATCTGGGTTCAATTCTCCACATGGGTACATTGTGTGAAGCCCATTTCTGGTGTCTCCCGGCTTGATATTGGAATATTGCTAAAAGCTATGTAAATCCAATTAACTCACTCACTGTTGTAGCAATGGGTACAATTTGTGAAGCCCATGTTTAGTCAGTCAGTCACTGTTGTAGCAAGTGTAAAATAGACATACATCAGATTGCCA